CCTACCGGGAAGACCAAACCCCAACACGGGTGGCTTCAAGGTGTGACCACACCGCAGCTGAATCGAGGAGAAGAAGCGCCGATCTCTCTGATCAGCTGGAAGAGCAGGCGCCTGAGGCGCAAGGCTGGGTCTTCGAACCTCTGCGAGAGCACCTCGCTCTCCACGGCCTATGGAGCTTTGGAAAAGCAGATGGCGACCTTGAACTCCTTCCTCAAGTCCAACTACAGTGTGAGGGATGAGCTGGAAAGAATGGATGATGGAGGCCTCCGCGGGACGCCCACTGTCATTGCGGAGGAGGACCAGAACTTCCAGGACCCGCAGTCCGTGGCCATCCTGGACTCGAAGGGAGTGTTCGATGCTTCCTCGAACGAGCAGAGCCAAGGTGAGTGTGACAGAACGTCACTTGAGGTGGCATTGATCAGAGATTCAATGTCCAGAACTCGTTCTCGCATTCGCTGGGTCCCTCACAACAGAAACCCGGCTGACATGCTGACTAAGGTGTCACAGGCGCATGAAACGCCAATGTACGACCTGCTCGAAACTTCGAAGTACAGGCTGCAGGTCGAAGCTGAAGTGCTTGAATCCGGTCGGCAGTCGGATCAACGCATGAAGCAAAAGCATGCTCATAAAAGAACCATAGAGGCTGATGAAGAGTTGAAAAGTGTTGAGATGCTTTAGATCCGACTGTTGCCATCGGGTTCAGGCGCCTTGAGTCATCGTGGGTGCGCATTCATGAAAAGAGCCATGCCGTTTGCTTTGTAGCATTCCGGAAGATTCCCCGAACTCCTGCCTTTTACAAGTCCTACAACTCGCACACGCAATGACTGCATTCAAGACACAGGAAGATCAGGAAGACAACTTTTCTTTTGCCCTTGGCGACTTGAAGCGTCTCCGAGGATGTAGGCTCTCTCGACACTGCTGCATGGATATGTGGTGGAGGTGGTGGTTCGGGATCCGCTATCAGCCTTGTTTGGGAACTTCAGGCTGGCTTCAGCTATCGGATTGAAATCGGCAAGGGTGGAAAGGGTGGCTTACCCGGCAAAAATGGTGGCAAAGGATCCAGTTCAAAGTTCTTCGAGCATGCACCGGGTGAGTCTTGGAAGCTCATTGCAGAGGCTGGAGGCGGCTATGGTGGGGGCAAGCTCCACCAGGTTTTGCTATTTTCGCCTGGCGGGCGGGGAGGCGTTGCCATGTCAAATGCATCGAATGCGTGTGCATTGCCAGGCATGGATGGCCAAAGCTCGAGATCTCAGCTTTCGGTTGGACCTGCCATTCCAATTCCAGGCACAAAATTAAAACCTCCCAAGGGACTCGTTCTAAATGCGTCGTCCCGAGTTCCTTGCAGTGGAAAGGAGTCAAGCTATGGTTCTGAGTGCCCCAACAAACCAGACTTCTTCCTTACTTGTGACAGTGAAAGCCGCTGCATTGGTGCGGTCCAGGTTGTCCCAGTCGTCCAGGCACCAGAACCAAACGGCAACCAAGCACCACGCTCTCAGAGTGAACAGTATAATTTTAATGCTATGCGCTCCAGAAACTATCCTCAGAACAACTACCTATTTGCTGCTGCACCTGCTGGAGGCACGCCTCCACATGGCTCTGGAGGTGTCAGGCAACCATTTGGGCGTGGTGGTAATGGTCAGTGTGTTGCAATACGGGCGATCACTGCGCAAAGGCAACCGCAGAACCCGTACATGGGGCATGACTTTGATCGATATGTGGTGCATGTGGCAATGCCTCAAGCACCTGAAACTCGACCACCAGGCCTGCCAGGGGAATCGAGGGATGTCATTCTCACCAAAGCACTAGGAACGGAGGGATCTCGCGGAACCAGGGGGTTCGCCAGCATCAGAGCATGCGAAAGATTGCAAGCTGCAGCAGAAGACATCACCCGGTTTAGTTAGTTTAGTGGAGCAAATCAGGAGAGATGAGCCACCTGTTGCCGCTGAGATTGTGAGTGTCACATTCACACCTATCCAAGATATTGTGATGTGACACTTTGTGCTGGATTGCACAGGCGATTTTTCAACCATTCTTTCCCTGTGCTGATCGTTAGGAGATGGACAAAATGGGATGTGTCCAGCTGCAGGGGGTGTGTCCTGCCCAGGATGTTTTTCTTAGCTTCGGTGCAACTAGTGGACCATCTCCCAGTGTTAGACAAGTGATTAAAATAAACATGATATCATATGATATCATCAACTAATTACTGAAAGTCTACCAGACACATCCAGAAGCTACCAATCCGCCCAAACTCACGCCAGGACATGTTGCAGACTCCGTTTTGTTTTGTAGCTAGGTACAAATTCAAGGGGCATTCACGTGCTGCCAAAGAACGGAACATTCATGAACATGAGTTTTGCTTGGAAGCTCTCGCGGAGTTTCTTGGGTGTTGCGTGCTTCTTGCGTTGCATTCAGCCATTTAGTGAATCTTGATGAGCTGAGGGACAGCCATGCAGCGCTTGTAGCAACGAGCGGGATGGAAAATAGACATAGCACAATGACATCTTTCACATGAATACCACAACAAGAACTGCAATCGTTGGCATCAACATTGCCACAAACAAGCTAAACCCAGCTAGACCACCTTGCACCCTTGCTTTAACAAGGCTGGCCCAGGCCGGCCTAGGAACAAGCTAGCTAACAAGCTCAACGACCTTGATGGGATAAACGACCTTGTCGAGACGAGCCTCGCCTTGTCCACCATGGCGGCTCGAGAGGTCGAGATGGAACAGGTGGACTTCATGGACGGCTTTAACTTGTACCAAACCGACGAAGAGGCCTTGCCTGGCGCTGGTGCCAAGCGCCTGCGCTACTGCCTCCTTTGTCTCCTGGCCACGTTGGCATTTATTTGTGGCGTTTGGATTGTTGACTCCACGTTGGATTGGGTCGACAAGCCCATCGTGGCGGCCAGCAGGGCACGGGATCACAAAATCGCCCAGCTGAAGACCAAGACGGGGCACTTGGAAGAGCGGCTCGAGAAGTTGCTGAAGGACGACAGAGACGAAAGCCGAAGGGTTGCGCCGAGTGTCAAGCAACCTCCCAAGGCCGTTTGTGAAGACAAGTATCATGTGTACATTGAAAGGTGCTCTTTGCTAGTGACATCCCCTCCCGTTATGCCTCCGGACTTATTCCACTGCACTTTTCCAAGCTGCTTCCTCAACGATGTGGATCTGGGGTTCAGTGGCTTCGCAGGCAGCTGGCAGAAGACATGCGTTTCGGTTCCCTCACTGGCTCATGCCCACGTTCTGGATCAACATGGCTCGCCAGTCCAATGTGCAAGCGACTTGACGCAGGTTCGTGAAACCAATCAATACCCACCTGAAATCCATGAGTCATATGAGTGGACCTGTGGGGCCACTGAGTTGATCCACTTGGAGCTTTGGGGTGGAGGAGGTGGAGGTGCTGGCTCCACGGATGCTCGGATTTGCTTCAGATTTTGTTGAATTGTGTCTGGCCCATCTAAGCGCAGTCAGGCCACCACTGGATGAATTTTCAATTATTATTCCAAAAACTTGAGGGTGAATGAACCGACTCATGAACTGTGCTTCTCCTGAATTGTGTGTTTGTGGGTTCTTGGTGGCATCACCTGTGAGGATAAACTAGGTGGACAAAAAGTGTATTCGTTTTTGTGCTTACTTATCCCCCTGCAGTTTGCAGGAAGTAAGTCTCCCCGACGATGGAGCTGCATGGATTTGTGGCGGTGGTGGGGGATCAGGATCCGCTATCAGCCTTGTTTGGGAACTTCGGGCTGGCTTCAGTTATCGGATAGAGATTGGAAAGGGTGGAACGGGTGGCTTGCCTGGAAAGAGGGGTGCCAAAGGATCCAGCTCCCGTTTCCTCGAACAAGCACCCGGTGAGTCTTGGAAGCTCATTGCAGAGGCCGGAGGCGGCTATGGTGGCGGCAAGCTCCACCAGGAGTTGCTATTTTCGCCTGGCGGGCGGGGAGGCGTTGCCATGTCAAATGCAACCAGTGCGTGTGTTTTGACAGGCATGGATGGCCAAAGCTCAAGGTCTGAGCTGCAGATAGCAGACCTACCAACTCTGAGCTGGTATGACCCAGATCACCCCACAACATTTCAGCGACTCAGCACATCATCAAGACGCCCCTGCACGGGAAAGTACTTTTCACCGAACTTGCCGGAGTTTGATTGCTCTCACCAACCAGACTTCTTCCTGGCTTGTGACAACAGAAGCCGCTGTGTTGGCACGGTCCACAGTGTCCCCAACTTGAACCTTTACGCTGCAAATGTACTCGAAGAGTCATTTCAGCTGCACCTCGTCTCTGGGGCACCTGCCGGAGGCACACCCCCACTAGGCTCTGGATTTGTGAAGAGAGGGGCTGGACGTGGTGGGACTGGTCATTGTGCTGTGACACAGCCAGAGTTTGTCGACATGAGACAACGCGATCGTTACGGCCGCTTTGTCGACCACAATTGGTGGTATTCTTACAATCCAGAAGCAGGTCAAGGGTCACCTGGAACTGGGGGCCTTGCAAGCATCCGGGCGTGCGGACGACGTTTTGGGTTGGAAGCAGCCGAATCGGACCAGATCATATCAGACTGACGGCTATGTTGCAGCCACAGGAAGAGGATGGACGAGCTGGCACAACCGCTTTCTCAAGGCCTGTGCTCGTAGACGTCTTTAGTTCAGACATTTTGCTGCGACCCTGTGGGATGGTGGCGAGAAGAATGCGCCAAAGCAGCAGCCCCCAAAGCGCTACATGTGACACGCACATCTCAATGAATAACTGAATAACTATAATCATGAAAGCGCATCGATAATTATCAGGCTGTAGTTGTGTATGATCAATCGACTCTGCTTGGATTGAAGCCATCCGCGAGTTATTCGGCTGCTTGTAGCATCGCCACAACAGCTCTTTCGCTGGAAGAGCCCACCCGACGTGCACGTAGTTACGTGCTCTCCAAAGGCCCAGGAGGCCCAAGAGTCCATATTGTTTGTTGTCGGTGCCCCGAAAATTGCCCGTGGATTCACGTGTGGATGAGGCACGACATCCTCTCCAACCTGCAGGAGGAAGGCCGGGTGCTCCAAAAACTTGAGACCGGTAACAAATAGACTTCATGGGCGGAAGGGGCAAGCTAGGGGCTGGCATGGGCTGGCCACTCTCACTGGAACTTATTTGAGACAATCATTTTGGTGATGTGGCATCAGCTCCAAGTGCTGTGCTTGCTTCAAGACGGCGTGGTGGTAAAGAGCAGTATTGAGTATTGAGATGTATTGACTATTGGCTGATATTAGATTCAGCACATGTTTCATCATAGTTGTTTGTGATTGTGCAAGAGGTTCCTTTCGCCCTGTTCTTTCGACGTGCCTGTTCACCTCCTCCGCCTGTCCTAGCCTAGCCTCGCCTCACCTCAACATGGCTGTTCCTTGTGCTTTTTACAGACCTGGCTACCCTGTGTATACTTCAGTTTCCCTGTATCGTGCTCACTGCGTAACAGCACATCCGAACCGAGAGGTCCAGTCTGTTCCAGGGCGTTGCAGGCTAGGGTTCCTAGCATATCCTATTAGCAAAGCTTCTCGCACTTTGATGCTCCAAGCTCAGGGTGGAAGATGACTGCACAAAACACTGTCTCATTCGGCACCCCGACAACTGAGCACTCTGACTGCATTACTGTATAGCAATCGATGAGGGGCGGCCATCTTCCGTTGAGCGACGGTCAGGTGATGTGGCCGATCCAGAGCCAGCAGAGTTACCGGCTTCACTGGAGGACATGGCGTTGCCGTTCAACTAGGCATTAGACTGATCTCATGGGACATGGGAAACCACGAGAAGAGCCGATAAACTTGGAAGTATGTGCGTTTCAGCGAGTTCATGAAAAGTGGAAGGAACCCAGGAAGCCAAGCAGGAAGCCCCTCAACACCCGCCCACACCACGGGTTGGTTTGTTGGTCTAGAAGGACGTCGAGATGCTGGCCAGAGTCACTGAACAACCCTGGAGCTGTGTCAGCTATGTGTGGGGAGAGGGTCCAAGCCTTCTGGCTCCCCATGATATCGGAGGGTTGGAGAAATGTTTCCCGCAGGATGTGTTCTTAAAAGATGACTTGGATGTTCAGAAGCTTGCTGGATACGCGCCTTCAACGCATTGTGCAATGGCGGGAGAGAAGATGTGTTCTTATGTTTAGTTTTCTTATAATCATCTTCAATTTGATGATGATTGGGCTAAAGTCATGTTCATATGAAATGGTGCTTGAACGGGCAGAAGCAGATGCATCAGGTATCAAATGTTTTGGAGCAGCTTCTAGGTTTTATATATATATATAGATGGTTTTAGTTCCAATACACTGCAGGCCCTCAGACAGGTCCAAAGACCCAAGGAAGTCGGACAAAAAAAAATACAGTAATCGAAAACGTTCAACATTGATTATCTATTCATGTGACTCATGTGTGATGTATGCATTCCTTTGGTCCAACCTGCCCTTCAAGTAAATCAAGGCTTAAACTAGACTTCTATTCTTTCGCAATCTGTATAACTGATCAACTTCAGCTGTACTCCATTGATTGCTTTGCATAGGTGCCACACTTTGTCAACACGAAGGGCACTTGAGAACTACTGTCACGGGTATATATATATATATATATATATCCATGTTGGAATCGAGGTTGCTCCCTTCCCCCCCAGAAAAATCCGTCGCTTCCAACCTCGGTCGTGTAGGGCGACCCCATCAGCGACCCCCATTCGACCTGAGGCGCTCTCCCAGGCGGAGGCCGGTGCGGTGCCCTTCATGAAGATCCCCTCGGCCTTGCGGTCCGTGGAGCGGAACGTGCGGAGCCTACAGTCGTTCGACCGTTTGTTGCCGTTTGGGGGTGTGGGAAGCGGTTTGTTTGGAGCATATGAGGAAATGAGATGAAACCGAGGGAATTCAGGACGTCGACGATTTTTGCATGTTTTTTTGCGAGTCCACTGCGGAATGAGTGACTTAGTAGACCCAAGGTTTTAAGTCAAACGATGGGAAGCAAAGAGCATCAGCAAGTAAGACGAGCAATTAACCGGGAGATGTACAGTACTGTGTAAAAATTGTTGCTATATTATCCCCGTCGGCCTACCCTGGCTCGGATTGGGGCTTGAGCCCCTGATAAAGATAAAGTTTAGCCCCAATTTAGTAGCATTTTATCAACCTTTTGGGTCGGAGGTATGTGGGGCTGGAGATGTATGTAAACGTTGGGCACCCCCCCATCTACTGGGTGCGCACCATGGTGATGGAATAATATGTTGGGAGGTTGGGGAGCGATGATTTTAGCCAAACATGCCAACCCATTTTAGCCCCAGGGTATTTGGTAGGTGGGTGTGTATATGTTGTGTTTTGTGTATATGAAATCCACCCCCCTGCAAATGTTCCACTGTATTGCTCTCTGATACCTTGGAACCCAACCATTTTAGAAAAAGAAAGCCACGTTCCACCACCACACAACAAAGAAAACGCAAGATTGCCAGAGAATGTGCTGCGCAGATGAAATCCACATTGCCTTGGCATTTGCGTGAGCATTGCTTTGTAAGGTCTTGCAAGCCAGTCATTTGAGCCACCACACAACCCACACACACCACCTACCCAGCAAAGGCTGCAACCTATGCTCTTTGCTTGACAAATGCATGGCTGCACAAATCTCACGAGTGGAGTGACTGGACTCTTGAGGGAGCGGATTTGAATCTTGAGATGTTTTTAATAAATTGCCAGGCAGGGTTGGGAACTTTTTTAGCCAGAGCCTATGTTGGGTCCCCCCCACATTTATCCAGGTACCCAACGTCATTTTATCAACTTTTGAGCCCAAGCTTGAAGAAAATCGGTTTTGTGGCACGTTCGGTACCCTCACAATTTATCCACCTTTAGGGGGACCCAACCCCACCTGGTGTAGCCCAAGGAGGATCTATATTGATGGAATTCAGGTGACAAAGACAAAGACGAAAGCACATGGTTAGCAGGGTACCTGTCGCCATTCAGGCAATCAACAGTGCGGATCCATTGCTCATTGAAGACAGTAAGTACAACCATAATTTGCCCTATCCTTGTTGCCACCTTTTTGCTTCAGGTCCGAAAGAACTTTGGCCTCAGCCCCAGGCAGCCTGTCGCACAGGACCGCGGAGTGAGAGAGAGAGAGAGAGAGACAGAGGAAGTCGATAGATTGTTTTTGTGCAAACAGGCTACGTACTATCAGGGAGGTCCTGTCCTAGACATGGTGAAAGGCTTTATCCCTAGTTTTCCTGACCAAGTGTGCTTGTTGAACTTTCATATAGGTTGGTGGCGACTACACCTGGACAGGGCAGGCCTTGCCGCTCCATACATACTTTTGTTTGTCAACGTGATTGTCGCAGAGGCGTTCAACGTATATATTCTGGGACCCGGGGTCTAAATACATCACTTGACTTGTCTTTCCTCACCTTTGGCCTCTTGACATTGTTTCTTTCTGATTGTAGCCTCACAGGATTCTGAAGGAAAAACATCCGCAGTCGTCGAGAGGCCTCGAAACTGCCGAACTTCTGGGCACCACGTTGCGCAAGGATCGGCCAGGGACGGTGCCCACAGCCCCTGCCACTGGAAATGCGAAGCTTCTATTATCAGAGGCGAGATGGGCGATGGGCCAGTTGGATTTGCGAAGCTTTATGTCTATAGTGAGTCTAGTGGTCTCATTGAGACAGAATGGTGAGCCAAGTTTTCCTTAGATGCCGCAGGGCGAGTTGGATTGATCCTTTGACACACCCTTTGCCCAGTTAAGTATGGTGCTGCCATTGCACCCCGATCCGTTCTTGATACATACGTGCTACATTGCTACATATATATATATATATACACTGTAAACCGACATATAGAATATATATATATACTATACAAATAGAACAACTTGATTGAGAGGCTCGGCCCTCTGGCCGTACATGTCAGACCTTCGGACAGAGCCCACTTCGTGGCCTCCCACCGGGGCTCTGCCCCGACTGGAGGCCTTGTCACCGGAGAGCGATTTTTGGGCAGCACGCAGTTGCTTGGCTGATGTTGGCTTTTCGGTTGTGGTGGGAGACGATATGCAGTAGTGGCCAACAATAGGAGCAGGAGTAGATACTGGCTGGATAGTGGTGGTGCTAGTAATGATAATTACAGTGGTGAAACATGGTGAAGCTGCGGCATCGGTTTAGGGGTCTTTGATGCTCTTTGTTTTCGCAGCCGAGTTTTCTTTCTTACACGCCGGGTTTTCTCAGCTCGGCCTGAGGACAGAACCTGGTTAGCTTCTGCTCCCTTCCAAAAGACAAAGTGTCCATCTTGCTCCAGCGATGCCGTGACAACAATGTCACAATGCCAGGGCCTTGGATGATGAGCACCTTAGAATTCGATCGGCGCCCAGATTGGAAGGGGTCAAGTGCAAACAACTTAACAACTGATCAACACAGACAGGTCAATGGCAGTGGCAACAGCAGCCTTGCTTGCTGCCAGCGACGTTGCAAACGATGACCTTGCAACCTAGCTTGCAAAGAACATGTGCGACAAATGTCCTTGGTGCTCGGCGTTTTGCGAGGTGCGTGAGCCTGAGGTGAGGAACGGTGGAGGACAATTCATAGTTTAAGAACCTTTTACATCGGTGCCGCGAAAAGGCCGGGACATTCTCCTTGATGGTCTGCTATATGGTGCACATCACTTCCCTGTACTTGTGTCATTTTGTGCTGTTCAATACGCTCCATTGGACCATGTGGGTTTACAAATTGAATCACAGCACCACAAGCCTTGTTTAGTCTGAGAGCATGTAATTACAAACCTGATGCGGCTACCCAGCCAGCCTCCAATCCCCAAGGTTTTTCCATGTGTAGAGCTATTTCGTGGCCCCTTCCACACTCAAGAGTCATGAGCTTTATCGATTTTGTCCTTCAATTGACTTCAATACTGTCTATATGCCACGTTCTCGACACCAGTCGCACCTAGGATTTTGCCTATGAAGCCTATCGCTTGCTGCTGGGCGCCTGAGCAGTAATAGACAAACTGCCGTAAAGCTGACTCATGTTGTTGGGGAATTGTGAGGATCTGTGAACCTTTCGCTTTCCTCTAGCCTCCTTCCTAGGGGCCAACTTCAGTGTAGCTGATGGGGATTTCAATGATGTGTGTCAGTGGTGTTTCGTCTTTTTGTTGGGTGTTTCGTTGGTGCCCACACCATCATGAGCCATCGCAATGACATGAGTCGTGACATGAGGTGTTGATATGAGACGTTTTGCTCCAGACGGTGATTGGACCCAAGACACCATGGCCTACGCCTCAGGCTGCTTGTCCTGGTGAACTGGGTGGGGGATGGTGGCGGCAAGTAATTATAGACGTTTTTCGAACATCCGTGAAGCCCAAGACGTGAGGCGCAGTGACGTTTGCTGTTTGCTGTTTCACTCATCTCAGGAGAGGACGGTGCTGCATATTTTAGCTCTCTGAGTCTCTGAGTCATCGTTTTTGTGCGTTTGAGTTGCGGCCAACCTGGCACTTAGCTTTTGGCTGATGCACAGGTGCCCTGGACTTCAGCTTGCGCTTGCTACTGTGGCAGCATTCTTTGTGAATCGCATTTCTGCAAGTCCCTGTCCCTGTCATCCTCACATCCAGCCACAGCACTGTTGCCTAGGAAACCTCTGCGCCGCTCCAAACCACCTAGCACAACCGCACGTTTCGTAGCGGAGAGACCTCTCCTACTACAGTAACTGCTGCAGGATGTCCAACAACAGTCGGTGGCAAGTGGTCCATGTCCCGAGGTTGCCGAAATCAGGCGAAGCCTTTGCACGGGAGCATGCCAATGAATCCTTGCGCACGCGCATCGGAGGCCCGCATGATTGTGGTTGTTGCAACATGTTTCAACAAATATTTATTGTGATTCCATGCGATTCCCGATCGCCGTGATTGCTGACTTCTCCCCCTCCTGTGCATTGTGCGCCTTGCGGTCTTTGATCAGTCCAAGTTGGAAAGCCCTGATGGCCGAGGTGTTCCGTTCTGGGACTTGGCTCGTGCTTCTGCACACGCGGTGACGCAATGGGTGGAGAAAGGCGACCGGGCTGGGCAGAGGCTCCACGATGCTCCGGTTCCCGTTCGACGCACGTGGGACACCTGTTTGCGTTTTCACGTTGAGGCAGATCGATTCTCTTTACTTGTTCAACAGCAGAACCGTCCTGATTTTGTATTTCACACATTGTCACAGTTTCGGCATGGCTGTCATATCCGGCGGTTGTGGAACTTTTGCACGCAGCCGACTCCCTGACCGTTGCAACTACCGGATCATGTTTTAACTGTGTGCCGCTTCCAGCCAATCACAATCCGCCTCTCATGCCACCAGTCGTGGTTGTTGTTGTTGTTGTTGTTGTTGTGGTCGTGGTCGTGGTCGTGGTCGTGGTCGTGGTCGTTGTTGTGGTTGTATTGTCGTGGTCCTTGTTGTTGCTGCTGCTGCTGCTGCTGGTGCTGTTGTTGTTGTTGTTGTTGTTGTTGTTCTGCTTGAAATTAGTCATTCTTTGCCTCCTCAATTGGCATCCAAATGCCGACAGTATTTGGGAGGCAACAGGCTGGTAGCCATATAATATGGGTGGTCTACAGGATTGTCGGGCTTGGCGGATGAAACCATCACATTCACGTCGACCGTCAGTGGAGCACATGTGGATACTGCATGAGGGGTTAGGAGACGATCATTTTTGGCTCATAGCAATAGCTAGCTAGCTCAAAAAGGTCTTTTCCCCGAGTTGCTGCAAGCTGAAATGACACCTCCGCAGGCTACGCGGCTGAATCGACCAGACTCTTCGACATTGGCGTCCGACTACTCCGGATGGACACCATCATCCAAGAGACAGCGAACGATCCCAACACGATCGGCAGAGCATACTCGGTCACGGTGCACTTGGGCAGCAAGCAGGGCAACAGCACCGGTCATGGCGGTTCGCACGGTTCGAGGAGCTTTTTTGGCCACCTCAACATCAAAGGCATTGTCCTCGTCAGCCCTCACGGTATGGACACGACGCGTGGCAAACCTCTGAGGTCCAATGCTGGAGTGTATGGCTTGGGGCCCAAAGATGGCCAATATGGGAAGTTGAGATTGGACAAAGCGCCTCGGTGATGGTTTACTGTGCTGGAGGCAGAGCTTGAGCCATCGATGAAATTCGGGTGATTCAGATGGATTGATATACTTTTGGACTTTCAATGACCAAAAGGTGGACTCCTTTCTTGAGGCATTTGGGAGGAACATCGCGGGAAGCTTGAAGCAACTTCCACCATCGCCCACTTCACGCAACCCAACGATCTTCATGTTTGTTGCCCTGATAAATCATGTTCAGTATCATGTTCCTTCTTCATCTTCACCTATCTCCACCTCTTATCCTTTTCCATCCATGCATGTCCGCGCTTCACTCCTCTTTCCCTTCTGCGGCCAGATCTACTTTGGCATCTCGGCAGCCATCAGCGGCTCGTTGATGAGCGCCTCCTCCTTGACGGTGAACGGTGACCTGTTGATCACTGCAGTGAGCTGTTCGCCCTTGGTGAATCGCTCGCAGATGGATCGCTTTGCAGAGTCCATGGTGGGCTCCTTGGAGGTTGCTGCCTTGCAGAAGAAGCCCTTGTCGAGGTGTGGCATTTGTCGGCTGGTGGGGGGGCAGCATTCTTGGGGGTGGCTGGGGAGTTGCAGGGTCTCTAGATGGACTTCACATGGACGGACCCCTATAGCATCATAGCAAACACCTGCTCTAAGTGTTTCAGGCTTCTTCTGTTTGTTCTGAGCTAGCTGGGAGCAGTTTGGAGGCCACAGAGGGTGGCCTGGGCACTGCACTGGTACAGAAGTTGACAGGCCCGTGAAGCTGCTCTCTAGAGAACATGTAGTCTAACATCTCACAATGCACCAAGACCATCCACCCAAATCCACGAGGTCCTGAAACATGCATAGATCATGATAGATCCGCACACCGGGACTAACCCGTCTTTTTGGCCAGGAAGGGCACACCTTTGGTGGACAATCCGATCGATCCTCGTGGCCAGCAGCCCTGGTACTATTTGCTTGAGACGCCGATGCTCTGTGTGAAAGGATGGAGGAGTCCAAGACGTTGGTGATGAAGCTTTCAATCATCCTCCATACAGCTATTGGACGGCCCTTAAATATGACACAAGAATCCAAATTAAGAAACATAATTAAGGGGGATTGAGGTACCCTGAGGGTTGAAAATGCTGATTTGGAAGTCTGTTCTTGTTGGAGCTGCCTTGGATTAGTGGTGGCTGTCACATGAATGGTCCGCTAAGTCAGAAGCAAAACCTTGATGTGCCTGAGGTTGCGTAAGCCTTCTCTGGGAGATAGGAGTTGCGTAAGCACGCCCAAGTTGTAGCATATAAATGTCATGTCACATCTGCACATGGACCAACTTCAGTGCAACATTGAAACATGCAGGCAGGGTGTGTTTCTGACAGGCTGCTGGAACATCCTTAGAAGACGTGCGGAACTGAAGAATGTAAATTTCAGCTTTTTGGTGCCGGACATCGGCGTGCCACGTGCCGCGTATGCTAATCGTTCGTAAGCCCCTAGGTCTTCCGGTTTTGCTTTGGACGACCGCAACGCCAAACGAACGCCATATGCCGCTCACTGCCAGGCTACGCGGAAGGCACAGATCAGTTGGACCCAGTGTTTGCCAAGTGCCAATCCTTTCTGCCAGATATTTGCTGGAAATGCGGCACATGCACTGCCTGGAAAACAGATCGCGCGCAAGCTGTGACTGTGGTGCTCCAAAATTCCTTGGCATAATAAGTGTTTCGTAAGCCCCTTCTTGCAAGAATTGCGTGCGTAAGCTGCCATTGTGGTCGCGCAAGGGGCGCGTAAGCAGTATAAGCAGTGGCGCAAGACAAGACTTAATAGGCAGATGCCATAGGTGTTGAATGGTTTTGCGAGCCGCTCATGAGGAAAGGCAGTCTTCAGTGCCCTCAGTACGAAGAGGTGAAGAGCGCCACTATGCCTGCCTTCGATGTCGACAAGTATGTGCCCTGCCTTGCCTTCAGCGTCAAGACATGTTCTATGTGTAACATCAAGGCAACATTTCGTTGCATGCATTAGCCCCAACCCCACAGCAGGACGGGTGTTGTAAGAGGAGCCGAGAGCAAAGTCCGAGACTTCAGCCGTGGGCACGTGCACTGCGAGCCATTTTCAGGTCGGTGTTTGGTACGAACTTGCCTTCCACGACATTACTCAATGCAATGGATGTGGTTGCACCCAATTCAACATGACTCGGCATGGCAACGTGATCGAGGACATGCTTCTTGCCACAATTGTGTCTTTGCAGCGCCCGGATGCACTCCCGAGCAAAAATATCCTTGAACTTGCAGCTGAGGTTCACTGTCACCTGTCCATGGCCATGGAAGAAGGGTGTGGACGGACCCTGGCTACCAGGATACAATGTGCAGCTCGCTTGAGTTCATGGAATCTATTCACACAGCGCCACGTGATCATTGGATCGCTGGAGCCAGTTGCATGTGTCCTGAAATTTCGGGGCCAGGAACCCGCTCCTATAGTTCATCCTCAGGGTCGTTGAACGGCTTTCCCAATTGATAAAAACATGCCGCCTTGCTGAGGAATGGAAACCGGCGCATGAACATGCTGAGAGCTTAGATTGAATGGACACTTTACATTCCACACGCCAGACGCTAGGAGCTGTCAGTGGTAAGTCATAAACCTGTGAAGTTGGCAAACAGCTAAGGTGGACCTGCAACATGACCATGTACTACAAGCCTCAAAATCCGGGTGTGATGTTGGAGACGGGCTTCGGCCAAGAGTTTCTTTGATGAGTTTTGGCCTCCAACGAACTCTTCACATGCTTGTTTCAGCTCGAAGGACGTTTCAGCTCGTAATGACATGTGGCGCTCCCCATGCCACAGACAGAGTCACATTGACGTCGGCTGTGTTCATTCGGGTGGTGTGGCCCTGTTTCTGTGCTTCAGAAACCCTAGGTTTGACAACATGGTGCTGGAAATCTGGAGCGATCCTGAGATTACGGCAAAGACAGGGTAGCTGAGTGGCAGCTTATGGCCTACCCGAAGATCATTGTTGCGCCTGAGTGAAATACAAAGACTCGTCAAAGAACAATTTGAAAGCGAACTGGTCCTTCGCCCCAAATAGAAAATTAGTAATTAGTAGTAATGTGTGGTCTTTGGTGCACTTCTGACGACCAAGGGCGAATAAAAGCACGGAAGGTTTGAACACACATGCAGATTGCAGTGCAGGTAGTTACACCATTATTTGGAGGCCTAGTGCCTCCACTGACGGCCCTTTTTGACACTGGCACTTCCGACATACCTTTGGAGCATTTCCCAACCTCTTGGTGGTGGAGTTCCTTTTCTCCCAGGTACTGTACGCTGGAAAGGTTTGTTCCAAATCTTTTGGCACTCTTAGTTGTGAGATTCATTGTTTGTCCGGGGCAAATGAGGTGCCCCCCGCAACGATTTGCTGATGAATTCATGACAAGCTCCACCAAGAAAGGACCAACTCTGAGGCTTCTGCTCATGCCTTTTGTCATTTGCTGCTAAGGTATGAGTACACCAGATCCATCCAATTCCAATGCCTAGGCACCCGCCCGGGCGCGGGGCACGTGGCCTTTTCAACCAGGGAATGCATGGGTTCTAAGTCCACACAGTGGGACAGAGAACTGTAGCGGCTACTCAGTTGGCTCGCTTCCTGAATTTTTGAGAGAAGTGTTTCAGGAAGACAGATGCTTGGCTGTAAAGAAAGCATCACAATATGACAATCATGAATAATCATAACATACCTATACCCTAAATATGCCCAGCTTGGATGGCCTCAGGGGTTGCATTCGTCCGAACCATGCCTGTACAATACAACCTCAGGCCCTGTTGATTGGACCCAGCTTACATCCGCTTGCACGAGATTCTGCATCAGACTACTCTTTGAGTCAGCTTTTCTTTTTGGGACCATCACCCTGCTCCCACTTTGGGCAGGTTCGGAACGTGATGGGATCACCTTCACTGGGATCAACTTCTTGTCTCGAACGCCTATCGTGGAGCCACTTGGCCTTGTGCCTGGGGAAGAACCAGCTCCGATACTTGCCAAACAGTATTTTCATGTATTTTCATTTGAGCTAAGCTCTGGTGGTCCGAAATGATTTGCACATGCTGCATTAAGTTACTATCTATATAACACTGCATGCAGCCGGCAATCAGGTGTTCCCAATACCAAACCCATTGAGAAGATACAGCGTTACAGCAGCTCCTTGTTCCTTCTGTCAGTAGTGGTGGACAAGGAGGGATCCACTGTGTCCCTGGTCTCACCCCATGTCATCCCACCAAGTACTTTGGCCGGGCGATTCAGGCCATGGATGATGCAGGAGATGTTTGTGCGCGCCCGCGCCCTGGGTTTAGAGCCCTATGGCTCCAACGACGCTTAACTCGGCGATTCAGGGTGATGTCGGGACACCTGACCAGACAGACCAGCTTGTTGAGAGGATTGATCAGATGGTGCTCAACGCTCTTGTTTTTTGCTTCGGAGTGTTTGGGGTGACATTTTGGACTGTGCCTTGTGTGGTGTCTCACTCATCTTCATCTCCGCATAATTAGTCTGGCAGTATTGGTTTGTTCTCATCCAAAGGCCTTGCAACACTTGGGCAACGGCTTCTTCGGGTTCTCTTCCTGAGAAACGGGCAACATGCGAGTCACAGTTCAAGCACTGCTGCTTTTGATTTTGCATGATTTTGCTATAGTGTAGGTTTGTGGGCCAGGGAGTTGAGTATATAAGATAATCTGATATACAATTGGGAACCGCTCAATTCCTATTTGCCCCTATCCGGTGGTCCATAAACCTGCTGTCCTTAGCTGTTCCTCGCTCATGCTTCCGCTGAGGACATGCACATCGTCGAGCATGTGACTTGGCGCAACTAAAACATATCATCCATGTCTCAGCTCCTTCAAATCTACGGCTCTTATTTCATAATCAACAATTCACCAGAAGTCCAAATCTGATGCGAATCAACCCGGCCATCCTGGAAATCCAAAGGATCCTGCTTCACCCATCGCGTGTTTGACCTCGACCTCAGGCCGGGTGCCGATATCCCAAATCCACCGCCCAATCCTGGATGGGCGACCGCCCTGAGTGGCCCTTCCCCGTGGCGGCGGGCGACTTCGGCGCGGAGATCTAAGCCGAGCGGAGCGTCGGAGCCCACCTTTGGTCGCCACGTGGGAGGGCGGCTGTTGGGAGCCTGGTTGGGGAGAGGCTGGAGTAGAAGAATGATGAAGAATGTATGTTTGCTATGTCTAGTATAAGTTGAGTAGATTGCAGAAAGGTTCGAACCCTTTGCAGCAGAGAGTCGTTGCGTAAGCGGCTTGCTCTTTTAAGTGGTGATTTGCAGAAACTGTGGTTTTGATTTCAACGCTTCAACAATGGGTTTGTTTCAGGGCTTACTGCCTAGGGCTGCCTCAGGCTCCATTGCTTTGTCATGGTGAGGTATCTTGCTGGCCGGTGAAAGAATCATCGGCCCAAAGAACAACAGCAAGTGCCAGATAGAGGGTGCCTGCGGAGGAGGGAAACTGTTGCACCGGATGAATATTGTGTTTGCAGAGTTGAATGTTTTTTTTGTTGGGGACCGGGATGTGGCGAGTGCCTCGATCCAGCACTGTGATCGTGATAGGCCGGTGACACGCCCCCAAAAAGCCTCTCTGCACTAGACGCAAGCTCGAAAAGCTCAATGAATCGCAGGCACCCAAAAAGCTGAAGCTTGTGCTGCTCAATTTTTATGGAAGAGCTGCCCTGCGCGATGGTTTTTTTTCAGAGCTTGATTGGCAGCAAGGTGCTCTTGCAACTCGAAAAATCTGTGCAAAAAAGCGAAGAGTATGTGACGCCTGGAGCTGGAAGCCTAGTGGTCAATGCTGATGAATCGTGCAGATCAAGGCAAGCATTATAATGTCATGCATTTCCACCTCCCCAACTCAGCGCAAATCGATATGCTGCGAGGAGCAACCCCACATCCACAGGTTTGAGAGACTAGGCTTTCTGTGTTCTTCATTTGGCCTTGGCTCCCCCTTGGCTCCGCACTGTGCGTAGTGAGTTGACCATTGTTATTCTCCATCATGTCTCCCATTGGCCCCTGGCAGCATTTGAGAAGCACACTTATCCAGTGGGGCAACTATCGATCTTTCCAAAAGCTGGTGAAAATTGCAGTTGCATCCTCAAGCCAAGCTCCTATTCAATGGAGAGACACCGACATCTACTCCCAAACTCAGACAGGTCCCTCCACACTATCCTCAAATCACCTCCAGGTCAGTGAAGAATCTGGCCGACCGGCACGTTCTGGGCTGGTGCCACTTCCATGGGTTATTCAGGGGAGTGCGTACTTTGTTGGATCTGGGGACCAGTGACAGGCAGGACCAGCTTCGTAGTGTGAAGCAGTATGTCAGTATGGAAGCTGACACCGGACGCCCTTTGTGTTCGTACAAATGCAGTGATTTGAGAGTAGCTGAGGTAGTTGCAGAACACATTGAACTTGCCTAATCACACGTTTTGATACTCTGCTATAGTTGTAAAGAGTTTGTGTCAACTATATAATTTGAGCCTAAATAAGTATAATAAGTCCCGTGTGAGCCGACCGAAGCCTATTTTGGGTGCTAGCTGGGAGCTTGTGCCCCTCTTCAAGAACCGGATGGGAGTGTATGAGGAGCGCCCAGCAGCACGTGAACATGGTATCTCTTGTGACACGGGATCGGCCTCGTTGATGCAGAGACGGGGGCCAAGGAGCAACCACGTGGCCAAAATAATTTGGCAATTTATCGGATCCAACAAATGTGTTTTCAATAATGGCTTGGCTTGTTGGAAAACTTGTTCCCTTACATACAGCTTACAAACAGGCGTGTTCCACGTTTCCATTCCCATCATCCCTCCCTTCTGTGTGCCACTGGAATGCTACAATAGTTGCAGGGTGAACCGTCACGTTGGAACTTGCCAGGCCCCGTCCAGACCTCCGCCTGCGGTGGTGCTTCATTCTCTCTTTGACCAAGGAGGCCATGAATTTTGCTGTTGTTTTCCTTGCTGACAGGTTTGCGGAAAAGAGGTTGAGGTTGTAGACTGAAATGCGCAAGCGCCCCCGGGTTCCGTCCCGTCTTTTCGGGATACATGTTACTCGTACTGTACATGTGTGCGTGTTCGCCTAGTGGTGAATTGCATACGAGTTCCTCCCTGCACTGCAAAGGATGCGTGCATATCTACTGTACTTTGATATACTTGAACCCGCCACACCTGCCACATGGATCCAGGATGGAAAGGTCATGAAATGACTGTATACAAACCTGGCCTGCCCCACATTATGTGTATATATAACTGCATATATAAAATTACTATATGAGCAACCACTTTTATTTAGGCTTTACTAAAGTAGTCTACGGCATGCTCTATTTGCTTGTCTATCAGTATTCGCTTGTGAACGAGATAGGGCCCCCACATAAACGAGATACTTTTGCTTGATGTCACCAAAGTAGTCTGAACGAGATAGTCTGATTTGCTACTAACGTAGTCTGAACGAGATACTGTGACATGACCTCTTACTTAAGTAGTCTAAACGAGATAGGGCACCCACACAAGAGATAGTGTATTTGAGCTAAGTACCAAATAAATGCCGTCGCACATATGGCTGTGGCTCACGAATACATTGCCACCCTAGACCTTCTTGCAAAGAGAACATCAACAACACCTGCGTGTGTTAGGTCTTACTTTTTGAGCCACACCCACCCACATACTGGATTGGTGCTAAGTCAGGAGGGCAGATGTTCCTCCGATTAAATGGAGAACATGCATATGCTTTGATTTTAGTACCGGGATCAAACCACAGCTCTCACTGACCAAACATTGGTAATTAAAAGCAAGAGGTGCCTCTCACCCATCCACCCTGATGCCGACCTTCCAAAAGTTTGTGCCATCCTGCGATGTTCTCGCAGCGTGCAGTTCGTAAGAAGTTCACTGGAGATATCAAGAGCTTCAACCCCGCCAAAGGCCTGGACCTGAGCAGTTTGTCTTGAACAATCATGTTTTAGGAATAGCAGATCAGCAGTTCACATTGATAGAACTTTTTGGGGGTAGGGTGTGTGATTTTTGGGATGCAGTCAACATGTGTTTTGCTGTAGGCCCGTAGGCCGGTCGGTTTACCACATCCCACTTGGCGTAGAATCGCTGACGGCTCGGAGTTCCATCTTTCCACGGCCAGCATTGTGGGAGACAGGAAGAGAAGACGTGTGAGGAGAATCCGTTTCAAAGGAAAAAACTATGGAAACATCGAGCCATTGACAGGGTATGTGGTAAAATTCATTGGAAAGTCCGAGACATTATTTGGAACAGAGCGAGCGCTGCCACAAATGCTGCCATCCAGCTGCGAAGGCTATGGCTTCATCACGGTGCCAAAGGTTTGGGAACTCATGAGGCCGGATAAAAATTTGATTTGAAGCGTGGTGGCCAAATCTGAAGCTTCTGAAGTCAGTTGGTCAGGAACATCATCAATGGGACATCCATCAAATCTGTAGAAACCAGGAGGTCGGGTTGACTCGCACCATTGCCAATCTGACGTGAAGTGTGGAGACATCTACTTGAGGATCTTGAGGTCTCCAAGATTCATGAGGTCGGGGTTGCCACCAGGTTGTCACATCCCACATTGATTGGCACATTTCTCCCTCCCAGCCATCGACCCTCAAAAGCCCCAGACCGCAGGTGTGACGTCCACTTTCAGCTCAGTGAAGTCTACGACGTGGACGCCGAGAAGGCGACCGGACGCCTCGTAGACGGCACGGAGTCGTCGACGCCTTCGCGGGCGGCCGACCGCTGCAGCGGAGGTGTCGGAGAAGGTGCGCGTGGGGTCGAAGTGCACCTTTTGGTGCAATTTGGACCGCAGCGGTCGACCCCAGGTGCCGACCTGAACAGACTGTGGGAAGTGAGAACAGACTGAACTGTCCAAACTGACGTGGGAGCGAAGAAGCAATATAGGAGAGGTTTGGACGATGAGTTTCCCTTTATGAGGTGCGCCCTCATTGTTTTGTTTGGTGGGGATGGGGGGCAGCTGTGAACAGGGACGTTTTCCTTTTGATTTGATTCTGGGTGGCTTTCCAAGAAGAGTCTCAATCCCGAAAACTTGAAGTTGAGAAAAGGATAGAAAAGGGGTGTAAGTCAAAAATTGCAATATTGGACCCCGCTTGATGTCATTCTTCTCTGACAATGATGGGAATGGGATCAATGGCGTTTCGGATATGTATCAGCTTCCAAGGATCCACCATGTACTGGCCTTGAAGGGGCCTATGGCGACAGATTGCACTTGGATTCACATACAAGCCGTGCGGTGATCTTTACAATACCACCTGATAGCTACATATGGCACGCAGACCACAGACAGATTGCTTGAGATGTTCAGACCACGCATCACGCAGCATGATGACCGGCACGAGGCAAAGGTGGTGCGAATCACCTGGGCTCCGGAGAGGCCGCTGGGAGTGGCGCTGGTTTCGCGTGGTTTTGCGTGTGGTGGGACGGCGTTTTTAATCGCTTTTACCGTCGCGAGACGTTCAATAATAGATTCACCACCTTTAGCTACTTTCGGCTAAGTTCCCAGTCTTTCCATGTGGCACGTGCAAGCGTTTGAAAGTTTTGTGGAAGAATTGTGGCATCATTAGGAATCCCTACTGGCCTCTGCCATGTGGGTTAGGGACTCCTATGCAAATTTAGCATGTGCATAGAAGTCCCTAACTCGAATCTGATCTCTCATCGCAAGGCCGCCAGAGCCCGTTCCAAAGCCGTTGCCCAAGGGCGAGGAGTTCAAGTGCCCAACCCATCGCGCTAGCCGGCTATTGACTCAAATAGTTGCATACATAAACATATGTAATGATGAGTGTACTGATGTAATGTAATGCAATCTTATGTTGTGTCATGTCATGCAATGTCATGCGTGTCACGCAATGATCGCAATGTGCTGTAATGTATGCATGCATGTAATGTATGCAATGTAATGCACGTGTTTCGCTCTTTCCGCGTGCTAGCTTAGTTAAGCCATTGCGCTGCCATGCCTTTCAGGCATTCATCAGAACGATCAGCCCATCATGAGCGTTGTTTGCTGGTTCTTGCTTGTAGTGGCAAATATTTGGGCGCATGATATGTGCTGTGCCGACGTATTGCTGTGTTGGTACGCGCTCTTGAAGACTGCTTTGTGTGGCAAAGGCATGGCAACTCGCGATGGTGCCAGTGCCTGGTAGGCGGATTTTAACACCCA